AGCCCCATCTGTGCTACCAACCTGATACAGGACTTTGGACAATCTCTGTCCATTTCTGAAACAGAAATCACCTTCAGGGAAAAAAACAACACAAAAATCAGGGTTAGAGGGGCCCTCTGAGCACTCCTGACTATGTTACTTCTTGATTGTACAGATACTGATGGCCCCATTCCAGCAACTTTGGATTCCTTGTTGGGGAAAAACAAAAAAAAGAAACAAAGATAAAGGTTCCCATTTTTAAAAAATGGTAGAAATTACCCAGAAAAGGCAGCTGCAATGTTCAGTGTGACTTGCAAGTAGAGAAGTCAGAAAATGTGATTTTAGGTACAACTCAACTGACACCACCCTTCACTGGAGACCTCGGTTCCTCGGCACTACAAAGTTTTACTGTAACAAGGAGCCCAGATAGCATCTCTCCAGGCTCTGGGTACATTTCAGGGGTAGAGCAGTGAGCATCACTGATAACCTCAGGCACAGTGGAGCCACTTGCAGACTCTGTTCTAGCCAGCCATGTGTGTCTGTCCCCAGGACTGCAGAGTGCCTCGGGGCCAGGACAGGCTCCAGGTTCTTTCCAACTTGTAACAGATGTTCTGAGCCACAAACTCCCATTGAATTTAGAATGAAACCCCTGCTGGCATATCCTAGAAAACTGCCCTCCTCATACAGATGGGAAAATTAATTTGGAGTCAAGAACAGAGCTTGGAATTGAAATGATCTGTTATGATTTCAAATCACTTTTCTTTCCACAGGATGTAGACAAGACAGGAGGATACAGAAGTCTTTTACAAAAGATATTCATTGATCAGCTTAGGTTGTCCCTGGTTGAAAGAGTTATGGCAGGAATGCCAGACAAGTAAGACAATCCAAGCCAATGTGGAAAATTAAAGTAAATGTATTAATTTCAGCATTGTTTGTAACTTCAAAGCAGTGAAAACAACAAACATGCCTACACAGTGGAGAGTTGTTGAGTAAATGATGTTATAGTAGATCCACACAACGAAGTATCATGCAGCTGTTCAGAGGAACGGTGAAGATGGCTGTAAACTGAGGTTTGATTTCCAGATACATTATGAAGTAAAAGTGTCTTGTAATAAATAATACAAAAGAAGAAAATATTCATTTATCTACTCAATGCAGGAAAAAAGAAACGCACAAAGGAAAAACCAAGAGACCATGAAGTGATCACCTATAGGGTGTTGTCAGGGATGGTGTAGAAAGGAGAGAGAGAATGGAGATGGATACCTGATTTTACACAGACCTACTGTGGAACCATGTTGAAAGTTTCACATACCCAAACAAATAATTAAGTGAATAAATTCCATGGATTGGGGGAAAATTTATAATTGAGCACAAACTGTTATATGTTAAAAAACAAAACAAAACAAAACAGAAGGTTGGAGACAGATCAAGGTGGCCAAGTAGAAGCCTCCATGAATCATCTTCCCTATAGGAACACCAACTATAACAACTACTTACACAAAAAGAATACAAAAAGTTAAAAGATAACCAAAAAGCAGGTGAGTGATCGCAATACTTGGATCTAACTTCATATCACTGAAAGAGGCACTGAAGAGGGTATAAAAACACAGTTTTGAATTGCTGATGCCACCCCTTCCCATCCTCTGGCAGAGGCTACATGGCACAGAGAGAAAATATGTGCACTTGGGAGAGGGAGAGCTCAGTGATTGTGGGACTTTGCATTGGAACTCAGCGCTGTCAACACCAGAAATAACTCAGCCAATGCCCACAGAGGGAGCATTTAGATGAGCCTTAGCCAGAGGACAACCACCCATTTCAGCAGTTGGAACTTGAGTTTTGGCAAGCCTCACTAATGCAGGCTAAAGTGCTATGGGCCACTAAATAAATTTGAAAGGCAGTCTAGGCCACAAGGACTACTACAACTCCTAAACAAGTCCTGAGCTGTGCTGGGCTCAGACGCCAGTTGTCATGGGGTGCATGCAACCTAGTGAGACATCAGCCTGGGCAGCTGAGGGAGTGCTTGCATCAGCCTTCCTCAACCCCAGGCAGTGCAGCACACAGCTCTGAAAGAGGCCCCTTTCCTCTGCTTGACAAGAAGAGAGAGACGAGTAAAGAGGACTTTGTCTTGCAACTTGGATACGAGCTCAGCCACAGTAGTATAGGGCACCAGGTAAAATTGTGAGGCCTCTCTAGGAGGCCCTAGCTCCTACATGACATATTAAACAAATGTACAAAAGTAAGTAGCATTTCTATACACCAACAATACCCAACCTCAGTGCCAAACCAAGAATGCAATCCTATTCACAATTGCCACAAAAATAAAATAAAATACCTAGCAATACAACTAACCAGAAAGGCAAAATATCTCTACTACAATTATGACAAAACTGCTGAAAGAAATCAGAGGTTACACAAACAGATGGAAAAACATTTTATATTCATGGATAGAAAGAATCAATATTGTTAAAATGGCCTTAACACCCAAAGCAATTTACAGATTCAATGCTATTTCTATTAAACTACTGTGATGGTCAATACGTAGTGTCAACTTGATTGAATTGAAGGATGCAAAGTATTTGATCCTGGGTATGTCTGAGAGGGTGTTGCCAAAAAAGATTAACATTTGAGTCACTAATTTGGGGAAGGCAGAGCCACCCTTAATCTGCAATTCAAGATGAGATTTGGGAGGGGACACAGTCAAACCATATCACCTAGCCTTGCTTTATTCCTTGCACAGAGCCTGAAATTCAGCCAGAGGTAGCTATTAAGGCATTCCTTGGTCTTTCCTTAGCATGTACACAGCACTATGGCAAACACACAATGCTATGCAGATGTGTGACCTTCTAGATTCTCTACAATTATGATAGAGATGTTCAAAGGCCCCTGGATATCTCATTTCTCACTTTTGTTGTTGTTGTTTTGTTTTGTTTTTTGGGTTTTGTTTTTTGTTTTTTGTTTTTTTGATCAGGCTCTTGTTAGCTCCAGGTGCCTCATTGTCTGAAGTAGCTATGATATCAAAAAGTTGTCCCAGAAATTGCATTGTCCATACAGAGCACACTGAGTTAGGTGAGGCTTATATAAGTTATAAGAAAGAAACTCTAAATTTTAGAGAACTGACATATAGCTGAAATACTGAAATTTTTCTGGAAATGGAGCTTTTGAAGGCAGAAAGGGGGAGTTTTCCTCCCATAAAGTGACTTATGCTACTGCTTTTCACAACCACTCTAGAGTAAGCCTCTTGGCCTTCAAGGCTGCTAGACAGTTGGGGACAAAGATGGAAATAGAACAAGTTATATTGCCACTAAGCTCTCTGCTATTGCTGAGATTCATCTGTTTTTTTCTTCAATAAATATGTACTGAATGTATTGTTGAAGCCTCTGTTTACATATTGTTTCAAGCCTTGGTATTGCAGCAAGCCTTGGTTACGTTCCAGAGTTCTGAAACAATTGACTTTGGCAAGAATTTTCAGTATTCTCATCACTCCTATGGAAGAGAATATTTTACTCCCTCATTTTGAAAGTGCTTTTCTTTGTTGTAGGCTTTTTGTAGAGGCTCACTATCAAATTAAATAATTGAACTTCTGGTCCTGTGTCATTTACTCTTTTATCATGAATAGATAAGTGATTTTTTCACACATTCTATTGATGATATGAGATAATCAGACAAGTTCCCCATTTACTCTATTAGTGACAAGTATTCCAATGATAATTTGGAATGTGAAACCAACCATATATTTTTGAGATAAATCCCACTTGTTCATGATTTATCACCATTTTTATACACAAAAAAAATTCACCAGTAATATTTTGTTTAGGCATTTTAACTTTACATTTATAGTAAGATTATCATACAGTTTTCCTTTCAGGTAATATGCCTGTCATATTTTGGTATCATAAAATTCAGTGAATATCAAACTTCTTTGAAAACAGAAAGGTTTTGTGTTGGTGTGTGTGGCTGCAAACAAACATCTTGAGAATAAACGTTCAGACACACTTTAACTTATTGGTATGTCACACGAATTGGAAATATTTTTTATTTCTAAATTTTGGCAGGAACTCAGTGAGGACAAGCCCAGCCAGAAGTAGAAGAAAATAGCACAGATGCACAGCAAAAAGGCACACAGCTGGGAAGTAGCCACAAGACTGCACTAGAGAGAGAGGAAGAGTGGTAGATAATAGATACATAGCTACATAGATAGATGACAGACAGACAGACAGACAGATGATAGCTAGATAGACAGACAGACAGACAGACAGATGATAGATAGATAGACAGATAGATAGATGATAAAACACCTGCATCAGAGAGTTTTTCCTCAGTATTTCTCTACCTTCCACACCAGATACCAATTTTCCTGTGTGCGCTCATAAACCCATTTCTTACCATTACTGATAGCTGTGTTCTTAGCTACCAAGTGAGTAGACACATCAAAGTGAGTGCAGAGAGGCAGAACGGTTATTTAGCCTAGGGGTCACATTCCAAAATGACGCTCTTAGACTTTTTCAACAAATAAAGTTTTTGCAGAGTCATGGCAACATAAAGACAGGAGTTAAAAGAGCAAACACTAATAACGCAACTGAAACATTTCTCTGTATTTTCTGTGAAGCTAGAAATTATCTTGCTAATAGCACAATATCTGGCTTTGTCTTTGTGTCTGTGCGTGTTTCAGTGTTAATGTGGTAAAAGTAAACACCCCAAATGCATTCATATCTAAACACCCCTGGAAGGGGTGGGTTTCAATTGCTCTGGAGATATACAGTGGGAAGAGGAGAGTTGGTCAGACCTGATGCAAACCCTGGGAAAGACAGTGGCCTCCTGCTGCCTCAAAATCTGCTGGATAAAGTCAGAATGAGGAAGAGCCAGGGCAGCCCTGCAACACCCTGAAGAGAGGCACAGTCCATGAGGGCTCTCATAAATTATACCGCACAAATTGTTTCACGTTGTCTCTTCCTGGAAGTAAAAGGAAACAGCTAATGGTTCCGGGTCAAGTTGAGGCACCTCTGATTGCCAGCCTCCCCAGCCACAGCGCCGCCTACTGGTAGGGCCCCGCCAGAACTGACATAGACAGGTGCAGTCTCCAGGTGTGCCCATACTTTTCTTGCACCATGAAGCTGAGCAGCCTCTCTCTACTCTCTGTGACCATCCTCCTTTGCCTCCGCATAGCTCAGCCTGGAATCCTGAAGAGTAAGATTAAGGAGTGGCAATCCTGGGTGTGGTTGGGGTTAGGGAATGTTTCCTCTGAGGAATCTGTGGAATGAGCTGACTCTGATGCCTGGAAATGACTTATGGTTGCCCTCGACTGACCCTGTGGTATTTTTCTCCAGCTGCACCGAAACCTGGATATTGCCCAGAGTTTGATTTTGACTGCCCTTTCACCCTCTTACCTGTGTGCTGGTACGATAAAGACTGCCGGGGGGTCAAGAAGTGTTGCTTCTACAACTGTCAATATCAGTGTATGGAGCCCTGGTGGACTTTGTATTAAGGTGAGGAGCCCCAGATCTGCCCTTCTCGGCTGCCCCTGAAACCTTCCTGCAGAAACGTTCATCTTAGAAGTTGAGAACTGCCTGTGTCCCTAGAAATCATTCAGATCAGAGGTTTCAAATAGGGTTGACCCACAGATCTGCCTCTGAACAGTGAAGGGGATGGCTCAGCAGACCTCCTTGCTCAGGATAGCACCATCCATTTCACATAAGGGGCATCACCCTTTTCCCCTATATGAAGGGGACATTTGGACAAAATTATCTTTAAGCTGCTCAAGGGTTATTGAATTTTTATTATTATTTTAACTTTCACACCACCTTTCTCTTTATATTTAAACTGTAGGGCAAGGGATTATAAATTCATGATTCCTTAGGATGGCTTGCCTAGAATCCCTGATCCCTAGTCCCTGATTCTGGGGCAGCATATCTCATTGTTCTTCGAAGGAGAGTACTTAGCAGGATTTCTGCCATGGTGCCCCTGGAACACAAAATCATGTCCCCTGCAATGCCATGTCCTCGGCATTAACAAAGTACCAGTCAGGCTGAACCTTCCCTGAAGCTTTGCACCTTCCTACATCTCTAATTCTCTCTTCTCTCTCAAGGTGGAAACTCCTTAACCAAGCCTGAGGAGGTGCCGGTTGCTACAGGCTCAGATTTGGATAACTGGTCTCCAATTCATCCATGATCTTCCCAGGCCCAAGATGTACTTTTAGAATTAAATGCTTATTAACATGACAAGAAGGCAAAGAGATAAAGCATTGTATATTTGAAACCACAGAAAAATCTGTAAGAGTGTTGGCTCTCCTTTCTCTTCCCCCTCCACCCCCCTCCTCTCTCTCTCTCCCCTTTATGGCTTGTCCCTTAGGCTCTGAAAAAAGGATGTGGTTACTATTTTACATTTACTTAAGAACCACAAAGGTAGTAGAGGTTTGGACAAGTCTTCCAAAGTTTTATTTGTAACTATCATAAACAAATTTTGGAAAGCTACTTGTTCTCTAGCATGGTTTAAGTTGACATCAAATATTTTTATCATAATTGGGTAATAGTTACAAGGGACACACTTTTAAGAATATGGTGAATATAGTCATTTAATTTAAAAAATGTACCTAAATATTTTTAGTGTTTCTAATGGAATTTAATCATCATCTTGATTTGGCAGTAATAACTAGTAAGAAAAAAAAAGCACGTTCTTTCCCCCATCTTCTTCCTCTTCTCCTCCCTTTCTTCATCATTTCCTGAACTATTCAAACCAAAACTATAGGTGAGTAGGTTTGTTTAGACTCATTCTGAAAAGTAGATGCCCAGACAGGATTAGATAATCAAGAATGTGTAACAGGGAAAATGTCAGCGAGGGGAAAAGGGATCAGACCATGATGGAGGGCTGACTGCTCTGAAGGAGGTGAGGAGGAAGAGTCTCAGAATGATAAAGTACCAGCCAGGCTGAACAGCAAGTCTTGAACTGAAGTCATCTATCAGAATGGTGACTTCAGTTCTCAGAATAGGCCTGCGTTAGTGTTTGGGCAGCACTCAGTCATTGGCTGGGGGTAACCTGAGGGAAGCATGATTTCAGCATAGACATGGTGGCAGATGCAGAGGACAGTAGCTGGGGGCATCCATCAGTTACATACCCTGAAGCAGCAGGAGACCTGAGCGGTGCATTTCCATGCACACCACTCTCCTCTACCTTGTGCTATGCAGTTACTTCTCCAGGTATGGTGATGAAGGCTAGTTATCCCAGCTACCTGGGAGGCTGAGGTGGGAAGATGGCTTGAGCCTGGAAGGCAGAGGTTGCAGTGAGGGGAGATTACACCACTGCACTCCAGCCTGGGTGACAGAGCCAAACCCTGTCAGGAAGGAAGGGAGGAAGGGAGGGAGGGAGAGAGGGAGAGAGGGAGCAAGGGAGCAAGGGAGCAAGGGAGAGAGGGAACAAGGGAGCAAGGGAGGGAGGGAAAAGAAAGAGAGAAAGAAGAGAAAAGAAAGAGAGAAAGAAGAAAAAAGAAAGAAAGGAGGGAGGGAGGAGAACAAGAAAGAGGAAGGGAGGGAGGGAGGGAGGGAGGGAGGAAAGAAGGAAGGAAGGAAGGAAGAAAGCTGGTTAATGTCAACTCATTGAGTTTTTCATCTTGGTTGTCAGTGTCTAATCCACCATAGATGCTTCCCAGCAGGTGTTAATGTGTAATACACAAATTTTCAGTTAAGTGTCTGCTCACATGTCGGTCCTCTTGCTCTACCACAGACATCCTTGCTACTGATTTTCTAGTCCTTTGTCTTCCAAGCTCCTTTTTAAAAAATTAGGTTTTAATATTATTTAGGTATGACAAGACCAACATATCAGATTACTGCCATTTAAGAGTTTGTTAAACTCACATATCTCAAAGGAGGGCCACACCTTGCCATGGAGTGGGTGGGGCAGGGGGGCACTTAGGAAGCACCTTTTTGAGTCAAGAGGTAGAGGGAGTGAGGGAGAAACATGGGCAAACCTTTCCTGTGGTTCTTGCAAGGAGCAGGAAGGCAGGGAAAGTGTCTCAAGATCGGCCAGTGTTAATAATTTCAGTGGTCTCTGAGGCAAAGGTACTCTCCCTAGCTGTCTAGTGCCTTGAACTAAGGTGTCCAGTGTAGGGCTGTTGGGCCCCAAAGGGTCGTAGGGTGTCCCTTATGCTGTGCCAAGGTGCAGGATCTGAGAAGTTAAGAGACAGGACACTGAAGAACTGGTGAAGAGCAGCTGGACTCGAGGGGCCACACAACCTGTGAGCAGAGATCAGCGAGAGCCCCAAATACCCAGAAGCATCTGTATTTATTAGCTACAAGCAGGGGGCAGGGTCATGAGTGAGGTCATCATCTATAGGCTTAGTAATAGAGCATACATAATCAAATGAGTGACAAGTGAGGGGGCCACCCCATTATGTCACTTGGGCAGAGATATGGGTGGTATGCAGTAGGGGGCCATGCCATGCACAGTAGTAGAGGGTCATGTATAAAAAAGGGGTTCACCCCAATTAGGTCACCAAGGCAGGGAGGTGGACTGTGTGCAACAGGTGTCGTACACAACACTTCTTGTCTGGGGGCTGGAGACTTCAAAGGATTTCTAATAGAAGGATACTGTAAGCCAAGACAGTGGGAGCTGACAGACTTGTGCTCTTCTCTTAAGATATTTATGCGAGGATGATTTGAGCTAGCACAGAAGCAAGAAAAGACTGACAGTGTGTACAGCCACCGTGACTGGTCACACCAGAGTGGTTCTTCTCCCTCGGTTATTTCCAAGATCTCAGGCCTGAGGCCTACTTTCCACAGGAAGTGGATGCAAGGTACTACAACTCCTTTATCAGGAGGAGAGGCTCTTGATCCAAGCCTGCCATACAGCATATGCCCTTTCAGGCAGGGACACCACCACCTGGGTCTTTGGTTCTTGTCCTGGTCTGGCTGTTTTCCCATGTACTGCTTCTGTTCTGTGACTGCTCTAGGCATTCCTCCTACTACAAACTACTATATGATTATATGGAAGAATTATATAAATCAGTACTAAATGTGTCAGTACAGCTCCGACTACAATACCTATATGATTATATAGAACTAAGTATGCTAGATATAAGTATTAAGTATGATTATATAAGCTAGATATATGTAAGCAGTAAGCTATACTTCAGGCACTAATTCTATAAACTAATATATGATTATATATAAAGGTTTATATAGGGGAAATAGCTGAGTAATAACACTATAAACTAAGATATTCTTCAGGCACTAATTGTGCCTTGGGTCTGGACAGTTCTCCTTCCTCAGTGCTCACAGGGGGTGTTACTCACAGTCCAGGGTAGGGTGATAGTGGCCAGAATGTAATAAGTCAATAAAGGAGATTGTTGGGGTACAGGCTCTAGAATTTAGTCTAAAATCATGTGTGTGTGTGTGTGTGTGTGTCCAATCAACCATCTCAGCAGAAGCTGTCAACTTGGGCCTCAGTTTACAGATCTTGGATGAAATGAAGGGAAGCTGTCACACTTCTGTGATTCTACAGGCAGGGAATGGGCTGACAGAGTTACTCGGCTGAGAACATGTTTGATCCTCAAGGAAAATATAAGAAAAACTCCGAGGTTGGTCAAAGGACAACAGACCTGCAACTACAGGCCCAGATGACACAGGTCCGGGGAAGGGACCACTGTCTCTTTGATGCAATGGTGGGGCCACCTCCTTATTTAAAGCAGGCAGAGCCACATTGAAATGGGCCTGAAGAGTATGGCCACTGACCCTGTGGGCCCAGAAGAGAGAGCATCAAGAAACAAGGAATTGGCTGGTGCGGTGGCTCACACCTGCAATCCCAGCACTTTGGGAGGCCGAGGTGAGTGGATCACTTGAGGTCAGGAGTTTGAGACCAGCCTGGCCAACATGACAAAACTCTCTCTACTAAAAATACAAAAAATTATCCAGGTGTGGTGGTGTGTGCCTGTAGTCCCAACTACTCTGGAGGCTGAGGCACAAGAATCACTTGAACCCAGCAGGCGGAAGTTGCAGTGAGCCACAATTGCACCACTGCCCTCCAGCCTGGGTGATGGTGAGATTCTTTCCAAAAAAAAAAAGAAAAGAAATAGAGAATTGTTTTCAAACCTTAAAACCAATAGAATTTGCCCTGCTGAGTTCTGAATTTTTGTTTGGGAGCCATAAATCATTTTTCCTTTCTAATTTCTCCCTTTTGGAATGCAGATATCTATGTCCTACTTGTCTCCATTGTACTTCGGAGCTAGATAGCTTATCTGGTTTCACAGGTTCACAGACAGGGAAGTATTTTGCCCAGGGTTGGCCATAATCAGAGTATCACATTGATTTAAATAACAGTAAATAAGATATTCACCTTACAGTTGACCACAAAATGGGTTAAGACTTTTGGTAATGTTGGAATGGAATAACATATTTGACATGTAGAAAGAATCTAAATTTTGGTTGGCCAGAGGGTGGGCTATAACTAGTTGAATTGGCTTCTCCCCCCAAAAAAATTCATGCTCAATCCCAAACCCTGTGCCTCAGAATGTGACTTTATTTGGGAATAGGATCCTTGCAGATGTAATTAGTTAAGATAAAGTCACACCAGAAAAGACTGGGCTTTTAATTCATTATGAGTGGTGTCCTTTTAAAGAAAATACCTTGTGAAAGGACACACACACACACACACACACACACAAAGAATCCAGTTGAAGAGAAAGAATTAGAGTGATACATCTAAAAGCCAAGAAGATTCCATGGCTACCAGAAGCTAGGAAGGAGGCATGGAGTAGATTCTCCCTCAGAAGGAGTCAACCCTACTGACAGTTTTGTTTTGAACATGTAGTCTCCAGAACTGTGAGACAAGAAATTGCTCAAGCTTTTGGAACTTTGTTAAAGCCGGCCAAATAAGTAATTCATGATATAATTCATCCATGTCTCTCTCATAGGTATTTACCATCAGATGAAATATTATGTCCATACAAAAACCTGAACACAAATGTTAATGGCAACTTGATACACAATTGCCAAAAATAGAAGCAACCACTATGTCCTTCAACAGCTGATTGGTTTTAAAAGATTGTGGCACATTTATAAAATGGAATATTATCAGTGATGGAAAGAAATCACCTATTCAGCCACAAAAAGAGATGAAGAAAGCTTAAAGGTCTATTACAATGTGAAAAGATGGTTATCTGCTAAGGCTACATACTACATGATCCAACCATATGTCTTTCTTAAAAAGGTAAAACTATAGAGACAGCAAAAAGAATAATGGTTTCCATGGTTCAGGGAAGGG